GAATTCTGAACAAAATGGCTCATTTAGATTTTCCCGAGAACCGCTCTACAGCCTGGTACAAATGGATTCCCAGATTTTCGACAAAAAAACTTCCGCAACGAAGTAGCGCGTTACGTGGACAAGCCGTGTAGGAAAAATTTGCGATTTTTTGATAAAATGGGACTATATAGAAACATTGTTTGCCTTGCGTTTTCTGTTGTAACCTTATCACTCAGCCATTTTTGACTGAATAAATCAAACTAAACTAACCAGCTGATAGATGCTTTGTCTCTCCTTTAAAGGGCAGTGAGAAATATACATTTCGTGCTGCATTATTTATTCACGGATGCCAAACAGAAGAATTACGCTCAACAAAACGGGAGGTTTGTATAAAACATCTACAATATTCGCTATTTTTAAGTGCTTCTCTGGTTTATCGTAGTTTCCATTCATTTTACGTGATACACAACAAAAACGAGACTATAAATTTGTTGCTAAAAGCGAAGAAAAACGTACAGAATGGCTGAAACATTTAAGAGATGCTATGTAAGCTAAAATCAAGTTCATTATTCGTTTTTTCAAGTTCTTTTTTACATTAGTGACAGATGTTCGAATAGTGAATTATCTGAAAATGAACATTGTTTTCAAATGAAATCATTCGATGAACCAAGTCCCAGATGTGATTTCTGTAATCGTTATTTGTGGTATGTTTCTTTTATAAATAATACGAAGCTGAAAGAGTTTGTCCGACTAGTGATATCAGATAAAGAAAACATATCCATATTTCTTTTATTCTATTTCCTAGTGGTTTGTTTTATCAAGGTTATGAATGTAGCCGTTGCCGAAAAAAAGTTCACCGAGAATGTATAAAAAAATTGACCTGTTGTAATTTGAGAGGTATAGAAATCGAAACTAGCTCTGTAAATAATACAGCCAAATGATTTTCGTTTTATTTTCAAGCATCTCTTGAACGAATTCGAAGTTTTGATCGTGGTTCTATTGAACTCCCAAGAGCCTTTTCAAATGGCTCAAATATGCATCATAGTACGTTCTACATTCATTATATTCATTATCATTAATTTTTCTTTATTTTCTTAGATCGTGTATATGCCTTGTACGATTATGATGGCACATCGGATGGTAACAAAGTTAATTTTAATCGTCAATCCGAGCATTTTCTCAGTGTTGCTGAAGGCGACGAGTTAGAAGTTCTTGAAGATGATGATGAGAGATTGTGGAAGGTTTGTTTGCCTTCCATTCTTCTTAATCGTCTAAATGCGATATTTATATTTTTGCATTTTAAAGGTTAAAAATGTACATTCAAATGAAGTTGGTCTTATACCGGCTACACTCGTTGGTTCATTTATTAATGGTGAAGCACAAAAAAGTTCTCAATCTCCTTTAGTATGTGATTGTGATACTTGGTAGGTTTCGTTCTGCTATTATTCATTTAATTTCAATTTTTCAGCTTTCAACTATAACAAATTCTATATCACAACTGTTCCCATTTATTAGGAATATCGTACAAGTGCATAGTAGTAGGAGCACTAACGGCAACACTAGTAATAATTATGATACGACTAAGAGTTTCATCCAACACATCTATAATTCGTTCAAGAAGTATTTCATCGCACTATTCATATAATTGTGGAAAAAACCAGCAGTTGATTATGTCTATATCATTCGATAGTAGTAATCGAAATCATCAACGATCTTCTGATTGTGAACCGTTATTTGGCAGAGATTATTTTCAAATATACAGTCTAGAATGGTAAACTTGAGAAACTAAAATGCATGCCATGGATTGATGTTGTTTTTTGAATCAAAATTTATAAATATTAAACAACCGTTACATACGTGTATGTGTGTGCGTGCTTATGCTATCAACTTCTTTCCATTCGTTTTGTTGTTCCGACTGTAACAATGTCGACCATTTTTCTCACTGCTTTTTTTTGCCATGGCTACTCATACTACTGTATATGCTTTTGTTGTTTATATTACGATATCATGTATCTAATTACTATTCCTAGTATTTATTATTTATTACCGAAACCCGAAACATGATCTATATGTTGTGATATCTGGACTTTTCCTGTCTTTCTGACAGAGCTAAACTTGCGCCGCAATGTGATTGCATTGTGTCGCATAATCGTGGTTTTGCGATCACAAATGCGGTTGTAACAGTGCAAGTATGCGCAAGTATTAAAAATTTGACGATATAGGTCGTCTGTTCGTAAGGGCTATTCGTTACAGTTAAATCGAAAAGAAACGTCTTCCCTTGCTACAAAGTGAGCCGCTTTCCTATGGAGGAAAAAAAATGATTGTGCTACCAGATGAACTTTCTTTTTAATTTAATTAAGGTTCATTGATTTATCTCGTCAACAAGCTGAGACATTATTAAAAAATGAAAATATTCCCGATAATACGTTTCTGATTCGAAAGCAAGGCAAGAACGATGGTAATGCAATTAGTATCAAACATAATAATGAGATATATCATATTCGAATATATACACTAACACAAGATCGATGCATAAAGTATTATCTCGTTGACACAATTCAGTTTTCGAGTTTACAGGTACTTATTTTAAAAATAAACATTTGCATGATCACTTTTTTACTTTATTGTTGTTCTTATAGGCATTAGTTGAATATTATCGAATGAATTCGCTCGAAGATCGTTTTCCACCCGTAAAAAGTACTCTAGGACGTTCGATAGCACAAGTATATGAAATAAATTCAAATATTTAAGATGCTATTTATTTTTTTGTAGTTGTAAATAAACATTTCTACTTTTGTGCAAAACGAAAACAGATGCAACGAATAGGTTTTCTAATAAAAAACAGTGATTCATTTATTATTACTATTTATTGTACAGATTTTGTTATGAACAAAGCTTTTTTCTTTCCTATTTTATACGAATATGAAGAATCATTGGTTGAAATAGAATCTCCTCTCATAGCGATATTTGATCAAAACAAAGTAAACTCTTCTCATTGATACATCATCATACAAATATTTTAACATAACAGTTTGTTATTTTCTTTTTGTTGAATGTAGAGTAGTTGCACGTTAAGCTACGCTTTAATCCCAGTATTTTATCTTCAGGTTCTTTTGAAATAAGTATTTTTTCTTTATCTTCTTACAATCATACTTGTTTTTTTCTCTCAACAATACTAAATAAATACTTTTTATTGCACAAAGTTTCTATTTAAATAGAACATTACGTTTATTAAATGTTCGCCATTTTGTTATTGTAGAGAAGACACGTTTAAGAATGTTTTTTTTTTATATAGTCGATCATTCTCTATTTTTCTAAACTGATGATGAAGAACTAATGTAAAAATAAACGACAATGTTTTTCGTTTTTTTGTAAAACTTTCTTCATGTTGTGAAAATGATGATATTGTGTTCTTCTCGTTTTTTCTATTTAAAATCTTGTTATTTTTAAATTTAAGAGCAAATATAAGATAATGTTACAAACGATTAGCTATTATCATATCAACTAATCGTGTACAATTAGATAAATTCTGAGGTGACATGGAGGAACTACCCAGTTAAACAATCAATATCCTTATAGCCAACCGTAGATACATGTGGTTTGATCCTAGCGTTCAGTCTTTTGTACTTTTGAGTAACAGCAATAACCAATACTGTATTTGCAACTGTTTTTACTGATCAAATGGTACCAGTACTTTGTTGTGAAATTCTCATTATTATTAATATTCTTTCTTCGTATCATTCTAACATCTATTTAATAGATGATCGAAAAATTATCTAGTGCTAGGCAATAAATTATCCCCTTCCCATTCGCCACGACTGACGAACCCGAAGGGATCACAAATAACTCGCATACTAATGTCTCATTTGAGTTGGGAGTCACGTGAAGTCACGTGAGTCACATGAAAAGCCGCGGTATAGCGTGTGATGACGAGAACATTTAGCAAAAAATCGAAAATTAGATGTTCAATCTAGGCATTTCTGCTATATTTCACTATCGAGGCTATCCATTGTCGTGAAATATTTAGAAGCAACAGAAGATTGAAATGGCAGTGTTAGAAGGTTCATTCTAACATTTTACACACAGAAAGGACTATATTTTTAATAAGAAACACTAAAATAATCTATTGGCAAAAACATAAGATCTTTTATTGCAGACTCAAAAAAATTTTTTTTCTTTCTTACAGCTGATATACAGGGGTGCTCCTATAAGGGGGGAGGAAGGAATCTCCCCCTGCTTTTTGAAAAAATTTACTCCGAAATCAGGATTTTCTTACTCCGAAAATTAGGTCTTTGACTTACGAGAATATCTCAAGCGTTTACTCGTATTTTCAGAGTAAGACAATTGCTCTCATTTTTAGAGTATAAAAGGCTTACTCTCAGTTTCGAAGTAAAGCGCTTATTCCCATTTTCAGAGTAAGGCGTTTACTCTCGGTTTTGGAGTAAGATATTTATCCCCATTTTGAGAGTAAAAGGCTTACTCTCAGTTTCGTAGTTAGGAATTTATTCTCTTTTCAAAAGTAAGATATTTACTTCTATTTTCGATGTAAGACATAGACTTCCATTTTTAGAGTAAAGTATTTGTTTTTTCTATCTACGTAATTCTATCGTGTACATAAATAAGATAAGATAAATAGAATAGACTGTATCATGGCTTCAGTAAATGTATTTTTATATTATAAGGGTTTATGTTGAAGCTTTTTCTCTAGTTTTTAAAAGCATAAAAATTGACTCCGAAATTGACTTCCCTTCCCCTGCCTCCGATGTATCGGGGCGCCCCTGCTGATATAGAGTGGCTTCAGTGAGAAGGCCTGGATTCTTTGAAGAACGTTTTTGATAGAATGATCCAGGAGTTTAAAATTAACTGCTGGTTCCTTTTATAAAAAAGTTTTTTAAAGAAACCAAGCAATTTTAAAAATATCTACTATATGGCATCTTGTACAGAAATGCTTGCTCTACAAAACTGCTGATTTCAGAAAATTTCACAGTTCGAAAAAGGTCTCATCTCACTGAAACCACTCTATATCAGCAGTCAGAAAGAAAAAAGCTTTTTTAAGTCTGTAATAAAAAATCTAAGTAATTACTTTGCCAATATGTTATTTTAGTGTTTCTCATTAAAAATATAGTTTATACTAAAATGTCCGAAATGAAGCTTCTAACACTGCTTCTTCAATCTTCTGTTTCTAAATATTTCACGGGGATGGATAGTCTCTATAGTGGAATATATCAGAGCAGTAACTTCAAATGTGATACCTTCAACAGTTGTACATTCAATTAACCTTTTCCCCAAATTTGTATTAGAGTTGTATATTAGAGAATGAGTGATTGACTTGAACAAGAAAATAAGACGAGAAATTTTTTTGGTGAAAAGCAATAATTCTTGTTTCTTTTGACTCAGTTCACTTAACTCCGTCTTCTTTGTTAAAAATAAAAATGGTTCTGGACAATAAGCTTTTTATTAGCAGTGTGTGTACACACTAATCAAATTTTGTGAATAACTAATAAACTTCTGACATGAATGTATATTTCAGGTACGAAACATCATAGTAATCACAGTCAAATAATTATGAAAAGTCTTGTACGACTATCGATCAATAAATTTAAGACATGTCTATACTTTTAAAGATTGCCAGACAGACAATATAAAAAATTCTGAATTGAAATATTCCGGATCCTCCTGGACATCAGGAATGAGTACGGACTTTGTGCTAGGAATAAATAAAAGCCAAGTCTTTAATACGACAAAATGAAAACTCATAATTGTTCAAACTTCTTTAAACTTAGAATTCAGAGACTTAACTAGAACTAAAGGCAGGATTTTAAGTGAACTGTACACATCGTTATAATATTCCGTTTCACTAGTGACCACGTGCGAAAAATATGACGCGAAAAAGTTTTCGTGAACAGTTCCGTGTTGTCACACAAATTGGAATATATTTTTCACGCCTGTTCATACATCATTTTACGATGTTCACGTGCGATCACAGTCCATTTCACGATATTCACGGGTGCACACGCCGTTTTATACATTAACATTTTCCCATGGGTAAGGAATCATCAACCTGGAAATAGTTAGGTTGTCTTTAGAACATGACCTCCTTTTTTGATAATTATTAATTAGAACCTGGTCAATCTCAAGATACTTGTTGAACTATTAACACGAACTAATATGAGTGCGTCCGTTTTCATCCTAAAGCGATATTCAAATTTATTATGTTTAGTTTTGTGTGTCGTGTAATAGAGGTAGGTGTTTTAATCAAGGATGTTTTTGCGGTTTCATGGAAGATTAAACAAAATATACGTATGTTTGAAAATAGCTATACCAGTTTTTGATTAAGAATAAAAATCTTATTTTTGTATTGCTTTTACTAACCCACTGGATGCTTCGAAAGGACTTCTTGTTCGAGATTATATATACATACAAATTTTTATGCTTCCAGCATCCTTAACACAAAACACTCTAATACATCTATTTTTTCATTTTTATTCAGTGTTTGTTCATCAACATTTAGTTATGTTCAATACTTTTTCAAAAAATACTAGTTTCTGTCTTATCATTTTTTGCACTATGTATTCAGCTCATTCGTCTGCATATGATAGATATTCGACAATATTAGATTCAGCAGTCTTAGACGATGATTTTGAATTATATGGATCCGCATCATCGTTCAATGATGCACTACAAGAACAACAATCGCAAGATCAATTAGAAACAAGAGGCATTTCAGATCATCCCAAGATTGATGGTATGTATTATGCGCTGAAAAGTATTGGTGTTCCCTACGTTCAACGAATACGCAATGGTCAATGTCTCATCGATTACGATGATCGTCTATTGTCTGAAGGCGAAAGTGTGCAAATTAAAGGAAAATTATACAAAAATGAAGATTGTTTGTTAGAACGTGCATATCACGCCTGCGGTCCCAATATCTTACAAATGGTAAAAATTGTTTGTCGCATTGTTGATCAATACTTGTCAAAAATAACAAAGTCAATCGTTACACGTCGTTCAGCCGCATCACCAAAAATAATCTCAGAATCTTGCTGCCGAAGTGTTTGTACAATTTCGGAATTAACACGCTACTGTCCACAATAATATTCGAACGCTTATTTACACTGTTTTTAATTTATGTATATGTATATGTTTACAAATTTTAATAATGATAAACTAATAAACATCATTTTTACAAAGTACCGACAATGTAAAAGCGTAGCAATTTGTCTTTTTTCTGCAAGACAAAAAGGTTATTTAAGAAATACGTAAACGTTCATTTATTCTGCGTTACTCGTTATATCAATCAATTATGCTCTAAATAGCATATCTTGAAAATTTAAACGGGTTTAATTTAGTTTTCAACGTTTCTGGAATATTTTATTAGCTTACAAAAGGAAAGCGCGATTTTAGGAAAAGGCTGTCTAGATGTCTCGGTTAAAAATTGCTATTAACATCTACGCTATTTCTACCAATGTCTCTTGTTTTAAACCACATCTCATCCAACTTTCATCTATTTCTAGAAAAATGGCTAGCCTCCTTCAATGAGCAAAATCCTCTAGCATCGAGAAAAATGAATTTTTCCAGCAACAATGCAATACAGAAACGAAACCGATGCGTATGTTGTTTCCCATGCACATATCGGATAGAATGAAATTAAAAAAATGTTTTAACTTTTATCTAGAAAAACTAGAGAAATTTGCTAAATACTGAGTTGCTTATGATTATATATTTAGTTTGTTATGATCAATTTTTCATGGGAAATTAGTACAGGTCAGTTTCAAGATATAATCGACAATTTGACAAACAAGTTTTACAATTTGTAACATATTGGAACCACAGGCGTGGTATGCACGTTTCAACAAACAGTCTTCATTTTTGTATAATTTTCTTTTAATTTGCACACTTTCACCTTCAGACAATAGATCGTAATCGATTAAACAGTGACTACTGCGTATTCGTTGAACGTAGTCCCTAGACAACGTACTTGATTACTTGCTAAGTACTTGCTAAGTGTTTGGAAAAATTGACAAGTGTTTTCAAAATTTCTCACTTACCATGTACTTTCAGAAGTACTTCTCAATGATAAAAATACTGGCTTTTATTGCTAAGAAGTACTTTATGAAAGCCCCAGACAAGTAAGGACTTCTTTTTATCACCCTAAACCCAAAAAAGTGTATTTAATAACTAAAAGGATTTTTCTGTTTGACCAAAAAACTAAAATGGTTCTTTAAAAAGAGTTAATTGAACACTTTATATTTCGAAATCCAACAAACAATTTATTTTAACGTCGGTGAACTCTTATGTAGCGATTCCTACATAAAGAAAGAGTGAAAAATAAAAACTTTTGACATTCTAACATTTTCTTCATGCACATATAATGTTATTATGAAAATTTATTTTATTGGTTTATCTCTTGTTTTAATTTGTTAAATCGTATCTTACTCTTTTGTTTACAATCTCTTTGTGTCTTAGATGTCAGTTTTGCTTCTTTACTATTTATAAACACTCTTTTTTAAACTAAAAATAGGTTAAAATCAGCAGTTGTTTGAATGACACAGATTAGGACCGCCCGCCACTATCTGTTTACGTGAATACGATACCTTGCTTAGGAAAACGTGTTTTCTTTGTGGACTTCAGACACCGAATAATATAAGTTCACAAAGTGAATATTAACGGACAATAGAGAAACATGAATAATATTACCTTGAAAACAATCCAAGCACTTGCAATTTTACTTGACCAGCACTTGTCAAGTGAAAAATCAAGTACGTGCACGCTGCACAAGTATTTACAAGTAAATTTACTTCTGGAAAAAAGACAAGTACCGGCTTCATTACGCAAGCTGAGTACTTGTCCCAAATGCTTGGGCACAAGTACGTTCTCTACGGAGAGAACATCAATACTTTTCAATGTATGATACATACTATCTACCTTGGGACGATCCAAAATGCTTCTTGTTTCTAATTGATTAATATTAGTTGATTGATCTTACTGCTTGAAATTTTCTACGGAGTTCAACGAGCTCCATCCAACCATGCCAGAAAAAAAGAAAAAGAAAATTTGCGACAAGCTTGGGAAGTCAACAATGTCAACAAAAATTTTTATCATAACTATGAACTGTGAATTTCGTCCTTAACAGCATCCTTAAGACAAAACACTAACACATCCATTTTTTCATTTTTATTCAGTGTTTATTCATCAACATTTAGTTATGTTCAATACTTTTTCAAAAAATACTAGTTTCTGTCTTATCATTTTTTGCACTATGTATTCAGCTCATTCGTCTGCATATGATAGATATTCGACAATATTAGATTCAGCAGTCTTAGACGATGATTTTGAATTATATGGATCCGCATCATCGTTCAATGATGCACTACAAGAACAACAATCGCAAGATCAATTAGAAACAAGAGGCATTTCAGATCATCCCAAGATTGATGGTATGTATTATGCGCTGAAAAGTATTGGTGTTCCCTACGTTCAACGAATACGCAATGGTCAATGTCTCATCGATTACGATGATCGTCTATTGTCTGAAGGCGAAAGTGTGCAAATTAAAGGAAAATTATACAAAAATGAAGATTGTTTGTTAGAACGTGCATATCACGCCTGCGGTCCCAATATCTTACAAATGGTAAAAATTGTTTGTCGCATTGTTGATCAATACTTGTCAAAAATAACAAAGTCAATCGTTACACGTCGTTCAGCCGCATCACCAAAAATAATCTCAGAATCTTGCTGCCGAAGTGTTTGTACAATTTCGGAATTAACACGCTACTGTCCACAATAATATTCGAACGCTTATTTACACTGTTTTTAATTTATGTATATGTATATGTTTACAAATTTTAATAATGATAAACTAATAAACATCATTTTTACAAAGTACCGACAATGTAAAAGCGTAGCAATTTGTCTTTTTTCTGCAAGACAAAAAGGTTATTTAAGAAATACGTAAACGTTCATTTATTCTGCGTTACTCGTTATATCAATCAATTATGCTCTAAATAGCATATCTTGAAAATTTAAACGGGTTTAATTTAGTTTTCAACGTTTCTGGAATATTTTATTAGCTTACAAAAGGAAAGCGCGATTTTAGGAAAAGGCTGTCTAGATGTCTCGGTTAAAAATTGCTATTAACATCTACGCTATTTCTACCAATGTCTCTTGTTTTAAACCACATCTCATCCAACTTTCATCTATTTCTAGAAAAATGGCTAGCCTCCTTCAATGAGCAAAATCCTCTAGTATCAAGAAAAATGAATTTTCTACGGAGTTCAATGAGCTCCATCCAACCATGCCAGAAAAAACGAAAAAGAAAATTTACGACAAGCTTGGGAAGTCAACAATGTCAACAAAAATTTTTATCATAACTATGAACTGTGAATTTAACTCATATGAAACTTTAATCACAGACTCCTTTACTCATCAATATTTAGTAGGAACTCCCACTACAAGTCTCTGCATACACCGTTTACATGTGGTTGTGTAAAAGAAAGAAAGCTGAATAGAATTAAGTCCTTTCTTTTACAAAAGTTGGATAAGAAAAGTATTAGTCAAGTGAAACTAACTCTCTTTGAGCTATAAAACGAAAGAAATACATGTTCACTTATTAGTCGAATGATCAACGAAAGAAAACTGTTACCAAATATGACTATAGATCGCAAGTGATTCTTCCATATAGACTGTCTCGATATCAGAGAAAATTTCTTAATTAAATTATAAAACCTTACTTCTTCACTTTCGGCATGCTCATTTAATTTTATACTCAGATTTAAAATTTCTTAGCATTCTGGGCAAACGCTCACGGTTTCTTAATATAGCGTTTATTGCAAGTAGTCAATAATATAATTTATAGTATCTATAAATAATACTCACGAGAGAAGTACCCCAACTGATAAGTCGCTTTTTCAACGAAATCGAGTGGACTATAGGTAGTCGACGATGCTGTAAAATTTTTGAACATGTTGTAGAAACAAAAAACCTTCATTTACTCCTAATCCATCCGGAACATGAACAAATATTAGACATAAACAAGCTGTTTCCTAACAGATAAACAAGATTTCCTCTAAAATTGAGCAAAAAAATAGAATTTTTCCACATTTACAAAACTTAAAAATATATGTGGTGTATACATAGAACACTAATATTGTGTTAGAAGGCGGTGATGATTATATAGAGAATTGATAAAGAACATTTTTCTTTACACTAGAAAAAGAAGGCGTTAAATAAAGACAAGTTAATTCGTAGGTAATACGTTGTACTTTTTTTATTGCATGTATGTATCGCAGGTAAATGTACAACTACAAAAATGATCAACGGCCTTATTTTAAAAAATATTTATGTTTATTTAATCATTTTATCTTCCATGTATCAACAAAGTTCAATATTGGGTAGACGTTTGACACCATCAATGAATAAACATGATATTGAACAGTTATTTTCTAAATCTATAGACAATATTAAACAACTGGATCAGTTGCATTCAAAAGAAGAAAGGTCTCATGGGAAAAAATATTCTATAAAAAGTGCTGGAATCACTTATACACAACGAATAATAGAGGGTGAATGTTTGGTAGAATATGATGATCGTTTGTTAGCTGAAGGTCAAATACTTCAACATAAAAAAAGATTATATAAAGTGGAAGATTGTTTTTTGGAACGCGCCTTTCATGTGTGTGGACCAAATATTCTTTTTATGTTAAAAATTGTTTGTCGACTCGTTAAACAATATACAAAAATAATAAATGGTACAAGAACAACAACATTATCACCACTCCAAGCAACATTACTCGAACGTCGCGATGTGTCCCCAAAAATCATTACAGAATCGTGTTGTCTGAATATTTGTACAGTATCAGAATTAACAAGATACTGTCCTAGAAAGACCTGATTTATCCAAATTAAAACCATGAGTTTAGGTAATTATAGTAAAAATTGTTCATGAAACCACCTAGAAAGTTGTTGTTTAATAAAATAAAATTTATTGAAAATATTGAATTAAAGAAAATACTAACCATCATCAGCAGATTTATTTTTTTACAAGGTTAATTCAATTTTTAATAATTCGCAAAATTTGTCGAAGATAAAATACGATAGAAAAAACGCTTGCTTAATATTCAACAATTAAATACAGTTTTTCGTTTTTGTATATACTTGTTATAGAGAAGAGAACAAAATTCGCAATTGTGTGGAATCACTAGAGAATCTATAGAATTGTCAGCGATTCTACAAATTTACAAGTAATTCTATAAAACTGTCTAACAAGATCGGAGATAGTAGAGAGAAGATTTTAAATTTCGCTAGTAAATGTACAGAATGAATTAAAAACAATCTTCAAACAACCCTCATTTTTATAAGCTTGAGTTGTAAAGTAATATTTTTACAATCTAGCAGAGAGTACGCTGATTTGTCTCTGCTTGTATATGGACACCCGAATTCTACTGCAGCAAACATCGGCTTTGTTCTGTTGTTTTTTATTGCTTACCAGTGTATACATGGTACATCACGATAACATACATGTCTGTCTTTATGAAATACTAAGACACCAGATACTGACAATAAAAACGAACAACCAGTTGTCTAAGTTAGCTAAGAAACAAAAACAATTTAGAGCTGAACGTGGTTTGTAACACATAAAAACTATGCTTTTGCTAGTAAATTTTCTATATAGAAAATCCCTAATGAAATGAATTCCTACCCTGTCTGACTCATGCCCAAAATTTTGTACATAGGCATTAGGTTTCATTTATAGGATTGACATATGACATGTAATATTGTTTTCAAAACTTGCGCTAAAGGGACAAAATCAAAATGTGCCTTTTTTAAATAAGCACAGTCAGTGTTTTATCTAGATTTTGTTTTTCGAGTGGGCGATTGAAATTTTTGGAGGGGCTGTTATTAAAGAAAAATAAACATTTGAGCCCAGTCAACTGTGCCATACAAACTTTAATTTCCACCATTCCAACGTTATGTTAGAAATCATTGCCGGACATAAACAGTAAATAATCCTACAAGAGCTCAAAATTTAGCTGCCTTTAAAGTAATAAAGTAGTCTATGTGAAAAATGGCTTAAAATATTCCATTTACCATTCAAGCTTATAAAAATGATATTGAAAGGTTGTTTTTAATTCATTCTGTACATTTACCAGCGAAGTTTAAAATCTTCTCTCTACTATCTCCGATCTTGTTAGACAATTTTATAGAATCACTTGTAAATTTGTAGAATCGCTGACAATTCTATAGATTCTCTAGTGATTCTACACAATTGCTAATTCGGTATTTTCTCCATTGCATACGCATTTACTTTTAGTCAGGCATATACCACGGTATCTCGAAAATACACGATAGTATTTTTAAATTCGAAAAACTTAACGTAAAATTTTCTTAATGTGTCAACATTCCCGTTTAATATTTTCCAATTGTTATTTACTGATGGTTCTTTCTTTGTGCAATTCTTGTTATATTTAACGAAAAATACTCGTGTAAACCAGGTGTGAAGGAATAATGCAAAGTTTCAGATTTTTTCCTTCTTGTATAGTAGCATAATACTTTGAGCTATCTTATACTCTCATTAAGAGTGACAGAAAACTGAAAACAATAGTTATTGCATGAAAAACAAAGATAAACTCACAAAAACATAAACAGAAATGGTGAGGGAACTACCTCTTAAGTTTAGACTGGGAGGTCAATCAATTGATCGAAGTGCTCGATAAAGAAAAAGAAAAACCATCCATATAAAACGTAAAAAAAAACATAGGTTAAATACAATAACAGATTAGATTAAAACTGTTTCGGAATAGAGATTATTGTGCACAGGTTATATTGGTAAACAAAGAAAACAAGATTACAATGGTCATTTAAGGACAAAAAAGTGTGCACATAAACAAAACTTTGATACAGTACATTGATTGCAACGATTACTATTATTCCTTGCTTCATACATTTCAAGCTCGTATTAATCACTTTTACAAGAGATATGTTCATAAGAAATGTTTCAAATTTTCTTTTGAATACGTGAGAACGGCGGTGTTTCTAAAGAACATCGAAATAATATTATTCAAGAAAATTGCGATAAAAGCCTCCTTCAACTCAACCTTAGTCATACAGCGTGAGTCTTCCTACCACAACCATAATTTTTTTGCTCGTTATGCTTAGATTCTATATCCTCCTTCCTAGATGAAAACATAAAGCCAGTATTTATCACATATTTTGATCTCTTAATAACATTTTGATTTTGCTTTTAATCGTACATGTACATTCAAAATAACTCACGACAAAAACAAACACGCACATACACACAAAACAATGAATCATATGTTGAAACACGAAAAAAAAAGCAATGACACAGAACAAAGATAAAAAAACAAAACAGCATCATTCAAAAATAAAAAATGACAAAAAATAATGACCCCAAAAACAGAAAAATAAATACTATAAACAGAATCAAAACTTGCTTACGTGCTTCTTCTCTCCATATTACATAGTTTTCAAATAAGATCTTGTTCGTTTATAATATCTTTGTGCTAATGAATTAATGATAGACACAATAAAAAAGCACACCATAACAATAACTACCACATCAAATATTCGGGATAATAAAGACGCTTTGGAAATACTAGCAGGTTCTCCCAATTTTCGATGCATTTTTTTCTTTTGCACAATTAACCATTCTTTGAATGGAGCTTGTAACGAACGTCCATAATACGGGATTTGCTTCATTATTTTTATAATATGTTCCATATGATGTTCAGAAAACAAAAATATAACAAATATTGTTTGTATTGACATTTTAATTAAAGCTTTACCAAGTACTGTAGCCGTAAAAAATGTCCAAAATGGTATCGAAAAATAGCCACATGTTAGTCCAGCTAAATCAAATAATGGATTTGGTATACTTGCACACAACAATATTCCCCAAAAACCAATTCGTTTAATAAGACGAAATATAGTATAGCGCATACGTTCAAATAGAGATAAATTTCGAGAAGGATTTAATTCGGCATTCAATAATAATTCGTCAAATCCTAATAGTTCAGTATTATCATCTGTATCTAAATTATGTGCGCGAGCAGTACGTGCAACAAAATATGGTGGTAGTTCACCAAGTGCAGTGCCTGAAAGTAGAAAAACGTAATATGTAAATATTAAAAGGTTGTACTAATACTGAATTTTATTGTCGTAATGTTTTACCTAGACCCCATAGAAACGCTTCCAATTTCACTTTCCACAATATTTTCCAAAATGATATGGGTCCATTCATTAAGGTTGATGATGTGTCAAGTAATAATGCTGCTAAATCTGTTGCTAATGTATCATTTGTAATTGATGAAGATACAGTTGATGTTTCTAGTGTTGTGGTTTGTGGTGCTATTGTTGTTGTTGGACAAACAATTTCTAAATTTAATAGTAAACAAACTTGTTTGTTATGTACTGAGCAAAATAAAACATACCGTTTGGATATGGTGGTTTTGGAAATTTGATTGACCCACATTCATAGGCGGCTATCGTCACTTGAGCAACAAATGGACCCAAATAAAGGAGAAATGTATGCAAACCCGTCCCGAGACCCACGGATGACATCACACCTAATCCTAGCCAATATAATGACCATAACAATATTGTTTCAATTTGATCAATTGTTTTTTTATGTCGACCTTCTGTATGATAAATTGAGATTAAAATAAAACACAAAAAAATTGAAAATGCTAATGTTTTTCGAAATGATATAAATTTTGTTAAATAATGACGTATCAAATAAAACAGCTCATAAACAAAATACTGTACGGTTAAAATTGGTCGACGCCATAAAACGAGTTTTGATAATTCATGACGTAACATTTCTTTTTGGGATTTTGGGGTTTTTTCCTTTGTTAATAATATTTGTTTCGATGGCAACGACGTAGAAGATGCTGAATTATTATCACCTTTTGGATGTTTTGATTTTTCACTTTTAGATAAAGTAGAAGAAGGTGAATGTTTGTGATATGATGGTTGGCTAAACAACAACAATGACGTGTTTAATATTGTTGTTTTTCAGTTTCGATGATTTCAAATGAGCCACACTCGATTCATAAGTTGATTTCACTTATTTACGAAATTTATGTTAAAAGCATATGCATTTAGAAAATGATACTGATTTTAACTATTGCTAACTGAATGAACATGTAAACCTTCTGTTCCTTAATAAAGTTCGTCGTTTGACATACCTGTTAGAATCAACTGGTGATGTTTTCGAGATATGTTGTTGTTGTCGTTCAAAATGTGGACGTCGACGTGTTTGTGTTTGACTTTTATCGTTAGACGTTGGATAATAAGAAACGTTTTGATCTTCTTTAGATGCTGCTGAAGATTAGAAAATAGTTGCAGTAAGTGGTATATCAATATATTTTAAAAATGATTTTTTGTCTTACTAATATGGCCGTTTGTTTGTCGATTTTGATTATGATGTGAGTCGCCACCGTTCTGTAATGGTTTTGTTAGATTATTCTCATGATCTTTGCGTTTTTTACTTGGCATGTTGGAGTAATTTGTCTTTGTTCTTTTTGTTGTGGATCCAGCGTCAAACTCAAATTGAAATTTCAGAATTAACAACATAAATAATTAGACAAACAAAAAAAACATGTGACCTCTCTCGCCTCACTTAAACAAATCAAAAAAGACATATATTGAATCGATTGGACAATGATTGCAGTAATGTAAAATAAGCGAGGACATCAAAGTAGGAAGGATTTAAACACTAAAATTTATGCTGTAAAATCGTCTATTGTACTATTGTCCTCTTTGCCAAAAAACGTCGTTTTTCTTTTACTAATGACAAAAGGAAAGACAGAACCTGCGAGGTTTTTAAATGAAATTTATTTTCATCGATTTATTTTATTTTGATGAGCTTGAATAAGTACGCAAACAGACTCTCTGCATAATAGTGAATTATGAGTGTGACCGAAAGAATTTCCACTTGCTTGAAAGCACATGTCACTTAGTAGTATGCACCCCGTAGGAAGACAACATAGAAGTGAAATGAATGTGAGTGTTGTGGCACGCCTAGAAAATTTTCACATTACGTACGTGTATTTATAAGAAAAAATTTTTACAGTTAGCAGTGGACAAAAAGCAATTTTTTATGTTTCAAGGTAGGCATGGCCGCACGTAACGCATGTTGGGTGAATCCACCGCTGGTTGGGAGTTTAACTTTTTGAAAACTTTTGCTCTACAAATGAATGCTCAACTTTTCTCTGAATAGAGAAAAAAATATCATATCAGACTAATTCTAAAATTGTGATAAAATATGAATAAACAAACGATTTCTTACTAGACACGTTATTGTTCAATGGCGAATGAGTTTGAGAAACTTGAATGATGACCATAATCGAAGATGTTTCTTTGTGAAAAAATTCAGTAGAAACTTCGTAATTATAAAATGAAATAATCTATAATAAAGAGTGTACCGAAAACTAAACCAAATACAGTACTAATTAACATCGACAACTCCGATATATTAGTCTTTATATTCAAATCCGTCAAGTATATCCTTATTGATAACTACTCGTCTTTTTTCGACGTTCTTTTAGGTTTTTTCAGAATAGAACAAAACAATGCGACGATCATATGATAACTCGTTCATGCCACGTCATTTCACCTATATTCCCTTGACTGTAATAAGGAAAGCGTAGAGAAAATTAATTGTATGTCTGTCCGAATAACATGCAAAAATGGCCACGAGCTATTCGGTGGACAGCCAGTCGAAAGAGAGAAGACTAGATCCTAAGAACTAATACACTTTTGTCAGGTATAATATGTAGAGCATGCATAGGTCATCGGACAGCAACCTTAGGTACGCAAAATTATTATAATCAATAAACGTTAAACTTAACAGAGGACACCACTTTGCGATGTATAATAAAGTGTGAAGTCAAAAGGTATTATCTTGACTGTAAGGAACGGGCCTAGAATAAAGGTTAGAATAAGTTAGGACTGAGTTTAATGTAGTCTTAGGTCATCCTTTCATTATTGGTTAATTAGAACTCTAAGATTGGAATAAAATTGAGTTTTGTTATTGAGTTTTGATATAAATCTAACTGAATGAATTACTTCATTAAAGTAACACATTGGACGCACTTTCGACTCAGAATTCAACAAGGCTTGAGAAAGAAAACGATAAAGGTGCGACGACAAACTTTGATTGGTGGATATAGTGACTAATTTTTTCGCTACTAGAAATGTGACTGGTTTAATATGAGCTACTATTATCGATGAACATTGTTTCAGTCGAATTTAGAAGAACAACGTGATGAAGTTTTCGATCCCTTTATGAGAACTATAGGAAAGCTTTTCTTGTTTGCGCATATACGTTTCGGAAGATTTCATGTACACTTAAATAAAACAGAACCTTACAGTCAAGGGCGAAACGAGTCAGAATGATGAGCGTTACTTGTTTAAATATTAGTCAAATGAACAGTATCAGCAGGCACATTGCTGGTTATTGCCTTATTAGATCACCGAGCGGCTTTATCTCCACTGTACTATTGAAGAATTTCCTTCTTCAGCGAAAATGAAGGCAACATCTGTCACTACAATATTACAGTTTTTCTATTAACATTATGATTACGTTATCTGCACGATTTTTGGATGTATTCGTTCGCTGGTTGATTTCTGAAAAACACCTTCTAACTTTATTGACTCAAAGTCTGTTTTTTTATTGCTAAAATCAATTTGCCAATTATAAGCGAAGGTTTGTAACAATTTTCTTTCAAAATACAAAATGTTATGTAATGTATGTTTTTGTTTTGTAACAGTTTTCGAAAGACTTCTGTAGTGTGAAGAAGCTTAGTATTGTCGTGACAAGAATCCGTCAATATTATAGGAAAAATTTACTGTCACATTTTTACGCATGCGATTAGCGCCATATTTGATGTTATACGTTCACTGAAGGAAGTGTTCTAGAGAACGAACATCAGTTATCAAACAAATTGACTAAAGATTTTTTGTATCTTGCAGAAGCTGTTATGACTTGTTCTGCGATTAACGTGATTTTTGGGTTCATTCTGGCTAGAAATTCTTAGAAAAAAAAAACTTAGAACGAATTCGCGGGACTGCGACGTAAAAAACATGTTATATTACTTTTTAGTAAGTGTTTTATTAAGTAGTAAGTGTTTAATATTACTTTTCAGTAAGTGTTTTTAAGTTTAGTGTTGTTTTTATTTTCTATTTTACAACTGCGAATTACTTTTGGTTTTGTTTTGAGATGGTTTATTTTTATAATGCACTCATATTACCAGATGATGCCACATGTGTGCAAATGTCATACATTTTCCTCGCGTTATAAAATCATTGACATATCTTGATCGTGTCGGCTATGAAAAGAAAGTGATTTGTGTCGTATACTATTGCTGTGGAAGGTGTGTTAGAAAAACAAGCACAAAACCCAAAATTTCTTAATCGTCTTAGTGCCGTTAGCGTGATATATCCGAAAGAGTATCTTAGTATCTTCTAGCGTCGTTACTTGCAGATACTTCAGTAATTTTAATTTTCATCCGAATAGTTTTAAAATTTTCATTCAATAAATGACGTTTTTCCAATATAGCAAAAGTGCACAAAATAAGAGACTGTTTCGTCATTCAGCACGCTAGTGGTTTCGACAACGCTAATATGATAACCTTTTTATGGACTGTTTTTCTTATATAAAAGAGGAGACAAAAACAGAGATGGACGAGTACGAGTATACTCGAGTACAAAATTTCTAGTACTCGTGCTCGAGTATTCCAAAAAATACTCGGGTACTTCCCAAAAAACTGGTGACCTTTTTTTTTACTATTTGCATATAAAAAAATCGATTTATTCAGAAATTTTCTTGGATTCACTGACTTCGTCAGAAAAAAAAATACTCGAGTACTTTTCACAAAATACTTGTACTCTCACTCGTACTCGTACACATACTCAGAAATCCATGTACTCGCCCATCTCTGGACAAAAAGCTCTTAATAGATAAACAATTAACGATGCTACCTAACCTGTGCGCAATGCTGAGACATGCTACTATACTCTACTTATTTTACATAGCTATAATGTTCAATTTCAATATTTAACGAGTTTGGTGAGGACAATATTTGATGCAATGATAAGACATGATAAGAGTCCAAACATATACCAATCAATTACGTTAGATAATTTCAATAATATAAAAATATCGTGTGGCCGTATGTATTTTAAAACATTCTTTTTTACTAAGTAACTTGGTATTATTCGTTGGCTGTTGAGTGTTGTTCTCATTAGTAGTGATTAGTAGTTAATCTTGCTTCCGTTGAAACGAAGTGTACCGACATGAAGTATAGAGTAGTTAGGAGAAGACAAGAAGCGAAACAAAGCTCAAAATTCAAAATCACATTTATGTAGTTGGTCAAATAGATCGCAAGAACTAACGAGGGAACCTTTCGAGGTGATTAAACGCTTTTTTCTCGGAATCTAGTGGGTTATAGGTTATCCATCATGCTGATTACGAATATGACCATGGGGATTGCCATTAACCCTTCGAAGACCTGGTTTTCTAGAAAATCAGTTTTTCAGAAACTCTAAAATATAACCCGAACCTTTCTTAATAAGACATGGTTGTAGCCCGAAAATTTCTGATTAAAATGAGACATCTCCCAGCTTTATACGACCTTTCTTGAAAAGTTATAGAATTTACAAGAAAAGCGTTAAATGTTCATTGTCAGCTCAAAGCTACAGAAATAAGGAGAAATTAATTTAGGATTTTTCGTGTGAATTTTTGCAAAGAAAAGTCGTGTAAAGCTGGGAGATGTCTCATTTTAATCAGAAATTTGCGGGCTACAATCATGCCTTATTAAGAAAGGTTCGGGTTATATTTTAGAGTTTCTGAAAAACTGGTTTTCTAGAAAACCAGGTCTTCGAAGGGCTAATGGCAACCCTCATGTTCATATTCGTAATCAGCATGGTCGATAACCTATAATCCACTAGATTCCGAGCAAAAAGCGTTTAATCACTTCGAAAGGTTCCCTCGTAAGTGATAGAAAGCAATTCATTTAATTCTGAAACTTTTTATTCAAAAAATAAAATATATAGTATTCCACTCATGTACCTATGCAGATATGAATTTGTATTCGCCCTTAACTGCATCACTTATCACGCTACATAACGAAGCTTGATTATTCAATAACTAAGTTATAAATAGACAAAGTAGAGAACAGAACTGAGGTGTTTATGATAACAAAAGAAGCGATAAAAATAAAGATACACAAATTAATATCAAGAGGATTAGAATAATTATCCGAATCAAAAATACGATAGTTGATGATGCTAGATGCACACTTTCAGGATCGTACTGTCGCTATTTAAATAAATGTGATTGTTTTAACACCATTCAAGAATTATTGAACTCATATTTTTGGTTCTCTTCGAAACTTCTAGTTAGTTCTCTGATGAGTTGTTCAATAGCGTTAGATCGTTAGCATTATTGCGATATTAATGCAAAAAAAACGGTATAAATATCACTTTGCAACGATGAAAAAACTATTCATCAGTTCAATTGCTGTAATGTTGTTCCGAATAATGACTCCATTGATCTAGTATGGATCACAAGGGTATCGATCATGTCGTTTCTAACGTAGCTCATTTTTTGCTTTGAGAATTGTTAAAATAGACTGTGCAGTAAAATATCTTTGCACGCATGCTAATGATTATTCAGTGGTTCGAGGACTGGATTGAAGTACTTCATTTTATGCATAATTCTTCTGTCTGAAGTTATTTCTAGTCTTTGGATATGCATGAATTACTTTGTACTATTTTTATCCTCATTCGGTCTAATATTTGTTTTAAAAAACTCGTATTCACATAAAGTTATCTCAGTGCAAATTCCCTCGTACTTTCTCTTTTCATATTGGTGTAATAGACATCAAAAACAACTGTTATAAATTGGCATTGATTTATTTGTGATAGCACCTTGCAAAACCATACATGCGTAACGCTGTCACCTCTATGCATTTGCAATCGATTATAATACAATATAGCAACGCGTATTAGTCGTGAGTAGTGAACGTATTACAATATTTTAAGCCGAATTATAATGAAATTTACTTTAAACATTGATGAAATTACCGGGAAATTCACTATTCATGATGAAGAAGGATTGGAACGATATTCTGTTAAAAATGAGATGAATTCAGTAATGCGTAAACTAACTTTTTTCGATTTAGGTACGACGACATTCCAGAGAAAAAAACCTGTGACTTCTTTTTCGTGGAAAGGATTTTTTGGGCTTCGAAGAAATAGTTTGTTATCATCTAGAGGGTGGGGAACCGTAAGGGAAGTGGAAACGACGCCCTCACAGATTTTGGAATGTGAAACAGCGTGAAGATCTTGTCATACAAGAGCTGTCCCTTTCGTATTTTAACGCGAAAAAAATTCACCCCTACAGCTTGTGACTTACTCCGCTGTCTCTATTTCCATTCTATGTATGAACAGATTGTAAGATAGAATTCATACATATTAAAATAGCCAAATGCTTGTTACAACACCGATTGATATGTGGACTCGTGTTCATCTTTTTCGTACAAAAGTTTATATTGTTATCTTTGTTTTGTGCCATAGGTGACAATATTGTGTGTACAATAGAAAAGAAATTTTTTTCACTACGACCAACATTTGAGTTATGTAAATTTTATGTGATTAATTTTTTTCTTATTTTTTACATACTACAATTGTTTGATATCAAATTCTTTCTCTAGATTCCCGTTTTGTGATCAAGCTGTTCTGAAGAAAGCTTAATGCTCTGCGTTCAATACACCGCTATTAGTAATACTTTAAATAGTTGATAATGTATCAAAATTTCTCCTCATCAATCATTTCTTGTTTGAATCCTCTGTTCATTCAATTGTTGAGGTAATATTTGTACATTACCCTATGACATTTACAACAAACATGGTGTTTTAATTTTACATGTACGAAAAAAATTAAATTTATTACGACATGAATTTTCTATTACAACAGAATTAGATGATAGTAAATTCAAAATCAATGGTGACTATTTTGGTAGCGATTTTTCTGTTGCAACACTCAAGGATCATGTGATAGCAAAAGTTACGAAAGATAAACTGTATACGATCGATATAGAGGAGGGTGAAGATGATGTGTGTGCATTGTTAGCTCTTGTAATTGTTCTACATTTATGTTGCCATAGTCCAAAAGATGAATGAATAATTTCGTTTTAATGTTAATTTGTAATTAAATACTACATACTGATCCTATGTAATATATCGAACGATTTCTCCATGCTGTTGTTCTTTTTCAAGTGCATACAGTTGTAATTTGACCACTGAAGAGATTAAAATACAGTAATTTATAAATGATTTTATTTTTGACTATTGGATAAGCGAACAGTTTAAATCGAATAGTTGTAAATAATTAGCTATAAATCTATTTATAAATACTTATAACCGTTTTGACATTTAGAAAATACTTTGAAAGTCTTCGGTGAATATGACTCGTATTTTAAACTGTAAAGCTATATTAAATAACAAACACTTAAGATGCAGACTATGAGTTAAGAACAAAATTGTCATCTATCTTAAGGATTTTTGTTTAATATGGCTCTTACATCTAACGATTCGATTGTATGCTATGCTAGATAAACGTTGTTTCTAAAACCCTCTATAATTGCTTAAAAACGTTAAAAAGTAACATATTTGACCGATTAATTCTTAGGCTTTTCGTATTCCCAATAATGACAACCTCGTGTTCTATAGATTATCTATCACAACTCTGTTCTTCTTATTCAACAGTTATACAAATCTTCTGTTACTGTGATTTACGTTTGTCTGTATATCTATAATTCGCGATGAATGATTCTTGTACGATTTGACAAAAAAATCTCGTTCAATAAAGTTAAGCACAAAGCAAATTTTCACAGCTGTGCAGTCTTTTGAAAGAAACGCAACTTTAGTGGGAAACGTAGAAGCATTTCAAAGGATAAAGAAGCACTGGCTTCGACTTGAAATTTAAGAATCATACAGCGTGCGATAGATCTCGACCAGGTGATCTATAGAACGTTCATGTAAGATTTTATCGCGCCTGTTTTTCACTCTCCTACGTGTTATCGCAAAAAATAGTATGCTCCTATATTAAAATGCGTTCATAATATACATGATTGAGACGTACTATTAGGATGTGCGCTAGTTGCATTTTTCTGGCAGCTTTATGCGCTTAAAAACAGGATGCTACAGAGAATGTAGAAAATATTTCACTAGTGTGTTAAACACTCAAAGTGTGCATTAAGTTACCTATGGTATGTAAGGATCACGTGATTTTATGTGAAAACATTAGCGATACAATGCGCTTACGAGCACCCAAATTTCTACATGGCGTATACTCCAGGTCAAAGGTCTTGAGTCAAGATCTTGATTAAAACTTGAAAGATTTCTCAAGTTTCTGTTCAATTACTTCAAGATCTTACGCAGATTTTTCGACACCTGGCGATCTTGAGATCACCTTGCAGTTCAAGATTTCGACAATTTTTGTTACAGAATCTGCCTTGAAAGAACTTGATCAAGATTTTCGATATCTGTACAGAATCTTGATGAAATCTTGAATAGTTTTGGCATTCGTACGGTATTACTTTCAGTTATTTTTTATTTTTATCTGTTGTATTCTACAGGGCTAGCTTTGCAGTCCTGTACTGTACCAATAGTATTGCTCAGTTTAGAGTTCTTACAGTACCGTTCAGACAATACGGAAGCTGTTCAATCAACTGTTATGTCCATATATTTTTTCATTATATATATTTTCATTTATTTACAGGGCGAATACTGTTTCTTATATAGGCATGGGCACTGTAAAACAAAAGCGGTGATAGAGAGAATAACAAGTATAATTTCGTCATTAAATCTTTTCAAGATCTTGGTATGGAATCCTCGAGATACACCAGACTCCAAGCCGTAGATCAAGATTTGTTGATATATCTGATTTGATGTTCTTGCAAATTCAGTATCAAGATCTTGACGCTGAATTTTCAAGAAGCAAAATCTTTAAAGAACATATGCAGACGTTCAATTTCTGCAAGACACGGGATATCAAGTCACAAAGATTGATGTATAACAAGTCCGTCGGTTATTGTAGAAAGTCATGAAATAACTTATTTTGTACAGAATTTAGTGCTTAGTTTGATTTCCTGAATAAAATTAGAAAACAGTTAGTTTGTTAGCTGATTGCTGTGTGGAATTTAATAGATGGCGTGGCTGAGTGGTATTATAAACTCTGTCGATGAAACAAAAAAACGATACATTTTATTTAAGGTAGAATTCATCTATTAGAGCTGCATTACACAGATTTTTCTGTTCTTTCTAACGGTGTGTTTGGATCTTTGTTCGATTTTAAGGCGATAAAATCGATGTTTTTGTAAAACTCGAATATAAGTTTAAAATTTACTCGTATGTTTTTAGAGATGCATCATAAGTTCTATTTTTAACGTTCATTCAACATCACACAAGAACGGGTGTGAAGATGTCCGTCAGGTCTATGGTATAACGACTAAAATTTCAAAATCTGATCATCTATTTAGTGTGAAAAAGAAGATTTGTTACTTTCATATAATATGGGTGAGAGTTTGAATTCAGTTCAATCTGGGGCAAGTCGGAGTATGGTACATATAGCCGGACACAAAATCGCTAAAGTGCCTGTAAAAAGGGTGTTCGTGAAGAGGAAGAAAAAGGGTGACTTGTCGGTAATCAAATAATATATTCTGAAAAGTAAATTTTCGCGCCATAAATCAGTATCAACGATCGAGTTGAAGTGCATGTGTTGATAAAGAAAAGGTATATTTATTACTAAGTGACGGCTTAAATAGCGATTTCATAGGATGTAACAATTGGTATACCGAAAAAATGTTAAAAAGAAAAATATTAAACGACTAATATTAGAAATCAAGTTAATATTTTTGTGCCTTATTTAAATACTTTCCTATCTGGACTAATAAATCTTTTTCTTGTTGTAAAATAGAAACATAGTTAACTGTATTTTTAAAAAAAATAAATATTAAACCTGGCGGTGATGTTAATATTAAATTGATTTTTAATATTAGTCGTTTAATATTTTTCTTTTTAACATTAGTCTATAGACCCGTAATAATTAAACTGGATCAAAGCTATAAATCAGCCATGTTTCCCTTGTTTCGTCTATCGCGACTTCGTGAGAAGGATGTTCGATGTTTTCTAAAAAGTGCTGCAAATATAAATAGTGATATATAATCTGTCAATGAGTAGGGCGTATATCACCGGGATATCATCGGATATCATCATCACTTGGACATTCCTGCATGTAATGTGAATTCCTTAATGTTTCTTAAGTAAAACAACTAAATGCACTTGCGTGTACGATTCTACTTCAGACTTTTATAAAAACCTCAGTATGTCAGTTATAACAGAAGATGTTAAAATGAAAGCACGTGAAAAAGTGCAAAAATTATTAGAGACTATGTGTCATATTCCAGTTAAGCCGCAAACACCAATTGATTGGTATTATAAATCATCACAATATTTATTAGATCAAGCTGAAGTCCACTATAAAGATGGTGAGCGCTTTGAAGATTTTACCGTAAAGAATTCTTGCAGGGAACTAAGAATGTTTTGGCTTTAGGTCGATTGGAAGAAAGTTTCATATTATATTCACGATACATCATGTATGTTGTTTAAGTTCGTCTGAAATCCAATAAATTATCCAACATTTTCATTTTTTTAGTCTGCATGTTGAAGAATTGAAAAAACATCATCCAGATTATCTTTTGGTATCAGGTGTAGAAAAAGCACGTGCTAATGAGGTATGCTTAATCTTGAATAATCGTCTATTATACTGCTGAATTTGTTTTTTATTTCATAGTTAATCAAAACGGCATTTCTGCGTGCTGAAGAACTTAAACAAAAAGTTAGACAAAAATATGAACAGAATATTAGTCGTTCAGAGGTTTATCTATATTCTTAGACTATTAAATTTCAGTATTAACGTAAAAACATCATTTTAGGAAGAAATCAAACGACAAGAATCTTCTACTTATAGCGAAACTACTGCCACCACAAAATCGAAAGAGTAACACACGTCTTAATTTCTTGTAAGCATTAAATTATTGTTGTTTCTGATATTTCAGCATGCATAATGAAAATGAACTTGAATTTCAAAAAATTAAAGCGAATTATGTTTACTCCCAACCGGGATTAAAAGTAGAAAATGCGCCTATTGTGCCGGCCACGGATAGTGCTCAATCTCAGATTAAACAAGATCTGAGTAGGAAGTGAGTTTTTTTAAATCTCTATTTGAAATATTATCCCCTTTGTTTCGTTTATTTTCAGGCCAACAATTGATCGTGCAACAAAACCAAATTTCTCTGCAAATTATTCCAATTTGACTTCCTGTCGTCGTGTTATGATACCATCAGGTAAGAATCATATTTATTTAAAACATTTATACGTGTACATTTATTTAAAAGTAATACTCGTTTTATAATCGGTGTTTTTAATTGATTATTTTAGATATAACCAAAATATTTTTGGATGTTGCACAACGAAATACCATACGAAGTATTGAAACATGTGGAATTCTGGCGGGATCAAAGGTAAGTATTTATAACATGAAACGAAGAATAAAGTAGGTCGTTTTATTTATAGAAAGATGATCGATATGTTATTACCCATATTGTTGTTCCAAAACAGAATGGGGGACCGGGTAGGATTAGCAGGCAAGTTACTTATTATCGCTTTATATCTTGATCTTTTATTATTACAGACTCATGTGATACTGAAAAAGAAGAAGAAATGATTGAATATATCACGGGCAATGATTTAATTACATTAGGATGGATTCATGTAAGTACGAGATCAACTTTAGCAGCAGTAAAACATGTTGTTCTTTTATATAGACACATCCCACACAAACAGCGTTTCTATCAAGTGTCGATTTGCACACTCATTTACCATATCAAATGTTATTATCAGAAGCAATAGCCATTGTCATAAGTCCAAAATTCGATGAGTAAGTAGCTCTCTACTGTTGAGCCTACTTATTCTCTTTGAACATAGAAAACTAATTATAAATCTTGATTTGAGCACAAACTGCCATTGGAAATAAGCCTTATGTTTTTAATAGAGCGAAGCAACTGTCAAGAGGATTACTTTCGTTTTTGGAAATAGCTTAATTTGTTCAACTTTTGTTTTAGAACTGGTGTATTTTCACTGACAAACGATCGTGGCATTCCGGTCATATCAACGTGCAATAAGACCGGATTTCACGAGCATGTGAACATTCCACCATTGTATCAGGTTAGATAAATATTTAAAACGAGACTACTCCGTTTGTGACTACTGTTTTGTTTTTTAGTCATCCTCTCACACATCTTATGATTCAAATATTCAGTGCAAGATTATTGATTTGCGAAACTGATTTCAAAATTGAACTTCTTTTTAATGAGAATGATACTTTACGTGATAAGCTGAAACATTATGCTGTTTTTCTTTTTCAAGTCAAAGTTTTTTTTATAATTATTTTTGTATATTCAATTTATCTCTTGATGGTCTCTCATAACTCTGCTTTGGATATAAATAAGCTGACCAGTTTAGGGAATCTGGTCCCCCTTTCCTGCTTTACTCCTAGTGGGATTTTTGGAGAGCTTCTGAGCTTTTCCTTGCGTTTGTAGAGAGGGAGAGTACCAGATTCGGTTCGTGAAAGGTTTTAGAAGTAAATATTTTGGGTGAGACAGATACACTGTAGTACTGAAACTTTTGCTAGAAAAGTTAGTCGAAGAGGTTCTCGATCTTCGAACGGAATTTCTTCCGTTGGTTCTTTTTGCTCTACACCGTACTTTCTAGGATATCGTTATTATTGTATTTCTCGTTTACAAACCAGTGCTGAGGGTATTTTTCTGTTTTTGTTTATTTCTCTCAAAGAGATATATTTTAATTTAAATAAGAACCTTGTTGTTTACTTGTTATTGATCTAAGACAAGGAAATCAAAAACACTTCATAAAATGCATAATGAAAATTTTGTTTCAGCTTTTCTTGTGCAGTACAGAAAAGAAAATCTATTTGTGCATTATGCTTTAATATTATTACACATACTAATGCTTCGCAACAGATTTGTTGTGAAGAAAGAATGAAAGAAAGAATTATTACATACATGGCAAAGAAAATTTTCTGTTCAGCTAGGGTAATTAATCTTTTTGACATGATGTATTTGACACTTAATGCTGGCAGAATCATTAATTTGGTTTTGGTACTTCTTGTTCATTTTTACTTTTTTTGTGCGAAAAAAAACAGTTAGTCTGTGGATCACCACGTTCAAGTAAATTTTGAAAATTTTTTTTTTTTTTCCTCATGTTTAACCTTGAATGTGGTGGTGTTGTTTATTGAATTTATGAAGCACGTTGAAAGGCTGTTGTTTTGTTGTTCTTCGTTCTTTCCTTTTACCGCTGATTTCTAAACAAACAGTCTAGTATACGTATATCCATGTATGCCTTCTTGCATCCAGAAACTTTGTACGAGCATTTTCCTTTCTGGATGAGACTGGTCAAACGACAAGCTTATGAAATTATCAATGCGAGTAATACATCAATAACCACTTTTCTTACTCGGAAACATCAGTTGTTTTGCATTTTTCAGTTTGAAATAAATGACAATATGTTGGATCAGTTTGATACACGGCTAATCATATTACCGACAGGAAAACAAAATTCGTACCGAGTCACGGAAAAGTGCTTTTTTCTACTCCACATACTCGATAATCCCGAAGATTTTCTATTTTTGGAGAGACGTATTGCTACGTTGTTACCACGACTAATCAACAACATTCATAGCCATTCATGACTGTCTAGACCAAGTCATGTACCAGATAATAATGTCATGTATGGTCTAAATTCAAACAAAAAATTTCGTGAAATTGCTGAACTAGTGATTGAAGAAAAGCAAAGAAAACTCATTTAGAAATTTGAAATATAGTTGCATTAGGCAGTTCCGATTCGCATGGTATGTTATTTGAACATTTCCTTTAGAAAAAGTTTAGAAATAATGTCTCTTTTAGATAATTCGTTCCGATAGCGATATAATATGGATCAGTAAACGAAAGACTTCTAACAGTAACAGTGACTCGTGGGATGTACAAAACAAGAAACTGCACAGCAAAATAAAGACCATATTGCTCAGATAAGGGCTTATTTCCAAATACAAAAAAACAAAATGAAACATTTTTTATGAAATATTTGGGCTTCGCAGGTATGTTTGGCGACTTTTTAAATAGTTCTATTGTTATTCTCCTAGTTCAGGTTTATTTCTGGATACATCGACTACGCGGCTGATTAGGAACGGAAAGAATGTGAGATCCAAGTGCTAGATCTAAGGATCGCCTTCACAGTCGTAAGTTCAAATGTGGAATTTCACTCGGCGAACATCCTCTCTCTTCCGACTCATATTCTAGCAGTACCAGCCAGAACGAAGGAACTTCTAAATGGAACGTAATCTTGGAGTTTTTAACCATTTAGGAGCAAAACTGCAAAAACCTGCAGGAGTATTCATTCTACTTGCATAATGAATACTCATGCTTCCTAACACAAGCGTCTCTGCTTTTGTGAGATATAGATTCGATTTTTGCGTAACTTCAACGTGTCAGACCTTTTCGGATCGCAAAATTGCTTCTGCCCTTTGCGTAAAATGTGTAGTTATGAGATTCAAGAATGGTTGGATGGATATTATCTTTCCCTTACTTTCAAAATTTTGTTCAGCGGTCGCCATTGTTTATTAAAAAAATCATGCTTTTCGCTATTGTAAGGGTAGACTTTGTTTGCAGGAGAAATTCGAAGGTAATTTCCAAGTTTATCTGACTGTTTTAGGAGGTAATAAAACATTTTTATACCGATGCTGAAGAAGCAATTACCCAATTTATGAAATTCAAATAGATTCGAAGTAGAACGCATTTGTTTTATCGATTGCATTATTATCCACAAATTCATTCAGGTGTCGAAATTAAACAACGTTTTTGGCAGTAGGACGATCAATTATTTCGAATATTAGGCGATATTTATGATGAATTTGTTAGAAAAGTTCCTCATATGATTTATCCATCCAATTCTGATATTTAGTACTGAATGTTATTTAAAATAACAAAAAAAAAGAATGTTAGCATATTTTTAATCGAGAATGATATAAACTCGTTGATTGATTTACGTGTATAAGAAAAAGATATATGTATTTCACATTTATTGTTTGTTGTGTAAAGATGGAATAAATATCTTTTTCTTTTTTCTATTGTTCAGATTTTTGTATGAAAAAACATTCTAGGAAGTAGAATAAAAACATGTTTTTCTTTCGTTTGTTTATTTCTGAATTATTTGGTGTTTCTTGGTTTCATTTTTTTAAAACCATTCTATGTGCATGATAAATTTGCTTCGTTTTCAACTTCTAATATATATACAGGAAAAAAGTCAATCTCAAGAAAGGAAGGAAAAAGAGAGGTGTGCGAATGTGGAAAACAGCTGCTTTAAGTACAGCTTTGCGTAAAAATAGGTATGACACGATTTTGGGATCGACGAATATCAAACGGAACATCATTATCATGATAGCATGTCACAGTGTTATCATCAACGTACAATTTAGTTAGAATGAAGATTCTAATCGCTAAAAGCTTATGATGATGTAATCATTTTTAAACCAAAGTTTGATTTCGATTTTTAGATACAAATTATTGAGAATGAATGAAATTTTATGAATATGTAACAATGAAGATTCATTCATATCTCGTAAAAATCAAATGTTATTTGATATTGATAATTTTATTAACAGTTATTTTCTTTTTTTTCTTCTTATTTCATGTGACAAAAACTAAATTTATAGAAAATAAAACATCTATTTCCAGCTACTCCATTGAACATAATCGTAAAATGATCATCATAATTATTTCTTCTTTATGGCCACCTTCCTCATCGATTCAACGTCTCATGTTATTTATCATAGAATTACGTCTATCCTATCATCATATGAATTATACACATAATATGGTGTTCGACTTTGTTCCATTGTTGATTATTGTTGAGCATTCACCTGAGACATATACTAACACCCATCTCAAACAATTTTGTAAGGAAAAGCATATTGGTTTATTATATTACTTAAATAAAAAATCATTGAAATCATGTAGTGAATGTTATTTAATCAAAATGAAACAAATGCAATTATATAATGTTTCATATTCAACTTTACTCTATCAACAACAGTCTATACCGTCAACAATCAATGTTAGAAGTCCGTTTTTAATTGATGATAAAATCAATCTTATTAAAATATTGCGTTTCAATACAATATTACCTTATTTTCATACGAAGAAACTATCTGATTCTATGTGTATTGGACTTGATGTTAAAGATAAATTAAACAATAAAAATGGCATTCTATATGTGAAGGAAAAAATAACAAATAAAAACATTATTTTACTTATGATTAATGGAAGTGAAGTCTTTATATCTGATTGTCTAGATCATTATTGGTTTTACTGGCCTATTATTATTGATGTACTCAATTATTTATCATATAATAGATATAATCATGGTTTAAATCGATATATACAGATCGACATTGATGATATTTTTCTTGGCTCAGTTGGATCAAGACTAAAATCAAGTGATATTGAAGTATGATACAAAAAAAGTGGGCAGATTTTCACAACATAAATACGCTGAGAAAAACAAGTATGAGTACTGCGCTTTAATCTGACTGTATCAGTTTTAAGCATTTAGAAGAGAAAAATATTACTAACATACTATTAGTTATCGGACTATACTTTATTTTAGTCATTGTTTGTAAAAATAGCAATCATTAAACAGATAACTCCTATTGTACGTCTTGTCGTTTATTCATAGGCATTAGTTCAATCACAGAAATTTATCCAAAAATATATCAACAACTTCCAGTTTCGACTTGGTTATTGCGGATGGTATTTTCAACGTGGCACTAAAGAAGAGAATGATGCTGATCGTTTATTGATAGGTAAATAGATTGGTTAGTTTTAATAATACAAATATGTGAGTTATTTAGAGTACAAAAATGAATTTGTATGGTTTCATCATACTTGGAAACATTTAAAATTGAATAAAATTATTGATAAACGTCAACTAATTGATTCAACCGAGAGAAACGTTGAATTTTCACGTGTATGTCGCTATTTTGGTTTACATAATTCATAAAAATGTTTAATAGTGACAATGTTTTAGAAATATCGTCTTCCTCTCGATCCTTCGTATACAATTGGTCCACATCATAGTGGAATTTACCCCATAAATCCGATAGTCTACGATGTATGGAAAAATATTTATGGATGGAATGTAACAAGTACAGAAAACTATCCCTATCATTATCCGTCACAGCAGCATCGAGGTTTCATTTATCAAGGAATTCAAGTATGAGAGAGGAAATATGATTTAACCACTTTAGTATCATCTATTGAAAAATTGTAGGTTCTTCCAAGACAAACATGTGGCTTGTTTACAAACACACTATTCTACGATCAATATCCTAATGGGAGTCATCGTTTAGAACGAAATCTAATGGGTGGGCAGTTATTTAGAGCAATGTTAACAAAACCGGTATACGTACATTATCTTTCTGGGAAAAAAAATTTTATACATATTTTTTTGTTTTTGAATTAAGATTTCTATCTTTATGACTCACCAGATGAATTATGGTTACGATCGTTTAGCAAATTATTTATTCTCTAAACTTATTTATCATATTTCAAATTGGACAAATATACGTTTACAATCAGTAACATCGAACGAATTAGCTCAAAAGTATTTCAGTCAATATTATCCAAATGATCGTGAACCTGTTTTCACCGTGAGTTGCATCTTCACGCAATTTTCATATGTGAAAAAGTGTGATGAATATTGCAGATACTGCTTTGTTCATCCGGTTAAACTTTAAAGTATTTCCTTCACTAAAATTCTGTTTAAGAATCCATGCGATGACAATATATTATTGAAGTTATGGTCACATGAACGTACAGCATGTAACATATTTCCAAAATTTATTATTGTCGGTCCTCAAAAAACCGGTTTGTTTTTATCTGACACATATTTATTTAACCGAATGTGTTATACTATTTTTCTGCTTTTTTTTATAAAAGGGTCGACTGCTTTACACGCAATGCTTTTGCGTCATCCAAGTTTGCGTTCAACCAAGGCATCACTCACAACATTTGAAGAGGTACAATTTTTTAGTAATCAAACGCTGTATATGAGAGGCATTGACTGGTAAGTGACTAACTGAATTAATATTTACTATTAATGCCTTTCTATCATTAATAAGGTATCTGAGTCGATTTGATGATAAAATGAGTCCAGAATCGATGAATTTTGAAAAATCTGCCACATATTTTGATTCTCCAGTATCAATTCAACGTATTCATGCCTTATTACCTAATATTAAATTAATCATATTGTTAACTGATCCAACCAAACGTTCTTATTCGTGGTATCAAGCAAGTTGATATATTTTGCCATAGATTCGAGCTACTTTTACATTGTTTTTTTCTAGCATGAAGTAGCTCGAAATCAGCAAAAAATCACCTTTGATAATTTATTACAAAGCAATAAAGTTGATCAATTAAAAAAACGTTGTTTAAATCCTGGACATTATGACGTACATCTAAACAGTTGGTTGACATATTTCACTCCAAAACAGGTGCCTATCTTTAGTGTTGTAACATCCAGTCTATCAATTACTTAATTTAGATTTATATTGTCGATGGAGAGGCATTTCGAGAGAATCCTCAGCCAATTATTGATGATATACAAAAGAACTTTTTAAACCTTTCGATCATAGTAAACTCATCATCAATGGTTGGGTAAGATTATTTTCATCTATTTGATAATTTCATCTAGACAATATTTTTTTTTATTCAAGTTATAGCAAAAAAAAACAGTTTTTTTGTCCAAAAACATTGGATGATCGATTAAAATGTCTGGGTCCAAACAAAGGACGTTCATATCCATCGATGGGGAACAATGTGAGAAAATGGCTTGACAACTATTATTATCGTTCAAACAAAAATTTAATTCATTTACTTCGTCGATATAACTACACAATTCCAACGTGGCTGTTAGTTAAACAATAGATGAATCCACTGGAATGATTAACATAATAAAATATTCTTATTAGGACGAATTCCTTGTTCGATCAAACCATACAACAATTTCTCCTTGATCCATATTAAAAATTAGAAGAAATAGAACTGACCGAATTTAAACTTTTGTTATTTTGTGGATAAAACAATTTTTACTCCCTTTTTCTCTAATTTTATTTCTCATTCTTTTTCTGTCAGATACCGATACATATCATCATCATCATCATTGTATCCATCACTAGTGAAAATGAATATATTATGTTTTACATTATTTTTGAATAATCTATATATTTTTCTGTAATTTTTATTCACTTTATGACGTATTTCCACACATTCTGATGATTTTTATGTAGTCAGATAATTCAGGTATTTTTTTACAAATTATTGTTTTTTTCTACAAAAAAAAGCACTGCATTTAAAGTTATTAGCCAAACGCCAAGGATGTAATTATTCGTTACTTTGAAATTAATTATGTCATTCTTGCTTAAATAAAATATGATTCAGTCAAATAACTTGCACCGTTCACAAACTGATACTTGTCACATGCTAATTATCTCGTATTGGAAAAATGACTAAGTCCCAAACATCAGACACCACTCGAAAACGGTTACACGACCGCTAAAAGTGATATCAGAAAAAAAAATTCGGATATGCCCCATTCAGTATAAGCACTACCTACTAGTTTTTCTCCCAATCTTCTGCGGCTTCAAATGAAAGAGAACGATGGGTGGACAAATCGACCAAAAGTGTAAAGAAAGAAAGAATACATAGGCTCTGAAGAAAAGCAACTAGATGCCAACTACCCTGCGGGCAGATTGTAAAGCCGACTGAGTGAAATACTTTAGACACCGTTTGAGTCCCTTCCATACGGTTAGAACACTGCAGTCCTCTAGCAGTAAACATTTTGATGCATTTTATCCATTTCAGACGATAAATGCCAACTACATGGAAGTATTCAGCTACGTTTATCTTCTACAGCATATTATTCACATTATCGTATCAGCTGATTCATTATCTTATCATACATTCTGCTATAGCTTTCATCATATCAAGCACTATAGTATGTATTCACTACGAAGGATATCTCGTGACGTTTAATTATCTGATAGGAGAAACGATAGAGTTTTCTGAAAAACATACTCATTTTGTGGCACTAATTATATAATAGCCAAAGCAAATATCCAAAAACTAACTTCAGTTGTGTCGTGTACGACTCTTCTACTTTCGAATCATCTTTTTCTCAAATCTGTACGATCAGAAATAACCGAGAACAGTGGATGGAAAAGTTGAGCAAAACTGTAGAGAAAGAAAGAACTAGATGCCAGCTGCGCTCTGCGAAGACTGGAAGCCGACTGAGTGAACGCTTGTGAGAAGCAAGGTTTCACATCACCCGCTAATTTTTGGGGCAGCAGTTAATCGTATAAGACAGGGTAATACTGACCTCTCTGCAACAATTATTAACGGGACAAAAATAGCCCTCAACAGAACAGGAAAAGGCAGATCTATTCGGGGATTATTTCTTCGTCTTACCTTACCTGTTTCTGAACCAATGCCTGCACCTATAACTACCTTTTTACCTATTTCTACGTTAAACCTAGTTTCGCCTTCACCACAACAAATATCTACGGTCATACATAAATAATTTACGCGACGATATCGCTTGTGGCCCTGATGATATACCAGTGTTTCTCTTAAAAACGAATGTAACACCGTTTGCACATCAACTTTATCATATATTTCACCTTTCAATAGAAACTCGATGCTTTCCTCATCAGTGAAAATTAGCTTTTGTTAATCCTACTCATATGAAAGCTTCGAAAACTATTGTGTCTAATTACAGACAGACCAATATCTCTTTTGTCGATTGAGAGTCAAATCTTGGAGCGCTTTATTTACAATCAACTGTTTCATCACTTGACCGTAAATATTTTTGTTGGTTTAAGCTTTAATCTTGAACCAGAACGAAATCGAGAATATAAATTCCCATTATATCATTCTGAAACTTAAACTATCAAAACACAAAATCAATCCTTGCACGAAGCTAGGATCGAACACAC